GGCGCCTTTTGCTGCCCGTTACCGGCCGCGTCGGGCGTTCCTGTCAGCGGCGGGGAGCTGTGCGGGGCTGGGCCGGCCCTACCGCTGCCCGTGGGGGAGAGCCCGGCCGCCGCCGAGTCCAGCCCTCCCGCAGAACTTCCCCGGCCGCTCGCCTCCATTCCCACGCTGGAGGGACGGAGGGAGTCCGGGAGGGGCCGTACCGCTCAGCTCCTGCAGGTGCGCGGCACCTCTTGTTTCTCTCTAAGTCACCCGAGCGCACTGGTCTTTTCTGGCCCCTAGGGGGGGGCGGTAAAAAAAAGATGCTTCAGGGGGCTTGCCCAGGCTTCCAGGCGAAAGCCCGCTGGTTGGGTCTGGAATTGCGCGGGTAGGATAATCTGAGGGGAAAAACGCACAACGCTCTTGTTTAAGCGGGCAGGAAAGGCTGAGCAGAAGAAATAGGTATGCTTTGTTAAAAACCCAGTTATTCACGGAGTTGGACGAATTGTGAGTTTGCAGAGTTTCTGGGGACATAATGTTCTCATGTCTGAAGGAAAAACCGTCAGAAGCAATCTGAACGTCTGGAGAAAGGCATGATTTATGGTGCCTGGGCCCTTGGCTTCTGCTTTAGAATAGTAGTTACAGTCGTTGCACAGCTGTGTATTTTTGGCTGCTGTTTACACTGTTGAAACAATCTCTGGTATGCTTGTAATTGATTTTTATACAGTCCCACTTAAAATAATAATATTTAACAGGTGCATTCCGGAGGACTAGTTGTGACTATCCTACTGTAGGCCAAGCTATGTCCTTGTTGTAACTGCTGACTTAATTCTAGTTTGGAGGTTAAGTGAGGATCCTGTGGGGAGAGCAGCACATGCATTGGAGTATTGTGGTTATAGGGAACTGGGTGTGGGTGTGAGAGAGTATAATGCATTCAGAAACTTGGCTCCTAATCTCAAATGCTTTAACAGCTAAACAGTATGTGCTTTTGGAGCCGAGAGGAGAATTTATAAGTTCTGCCTAATTACAGTTTTGGGCTTAACAGCTGTGTCGTTCTCTCATTCTGGTGAATATTTTAGCAAGTGAAGGCAGGCGCCCTCTAATGCTCTTCCTGTGTGGGACAGTATGACATGACCGAGTTCTGAGCTGCCCATACTGAGTAAAGCCAGAGTTCTGTCATGGGGGGGAAAAGCAAGGTCTCTAGGAAAAGATAGTACCTCTAATTTAATCCACATTAATTATGTGAATGGGAAAAGTCTTACTATCTCTTCAGTCCGAGTCTACACTAAATCTAGCCAAGCCTAGTTAAAACACAGAAACTTGGCCCGTTTAACTTTCTCCTCCACATTTAATGTTATCATTTTAAGAAGTTGGTGATAAGCTTTGAAGATAATAAGCCACGTAGAACTCAAGACTACCCCCAAACTAGGAGGGTAAATACCAGGTCTACTGTAGTGACACAACCCAATTCACTGTAATGTTCATATTTAGAATAGCACTACTAATATCTTTGGACAGTGTTACTTAGAACAATTAGACAGTGCATCTACAGATGAAAAAAACCCTTGTGTGTCGTAACTACCAAGCAGTCTTTTGCTACTGAAATCACATTAATTGTAGCTGCATTACTGGGTTCTAACACTTAAGTGTGGGAAGGAAAATATGAATGAGCTGGTGCTGCTGGAAGCAGAGAAACCCAGTGCCAAAAACGGTGACTGTCCTGCAGGGGAACAGTGTTCTTCACTGGTACTGGTGGGATATGGTTTATTTAATCTATTTTTGTTCCTACCCCATGCTATATTTTCCTTTTCTGCTCCTTTCTCTCTCTCTTTTTTTTTTAATTTAAACTTTGTACTGACATGTTTTTCATCCATTTGAGTGTCTTTCTACTATGGTGTTATGAATAAAAAAGTCTGATACTGAAAACCTTGTCTCGTATTTAATGAATGTAAGGTTATGTATACAACTTATGGTCCGGTCTCACTTCATGAAACAACTGATGGTATTTTCCCAGAGTTTCACTTAATAAAAAAGTCTAAAAGATTTTTGTATTCAAAGTTAAAATGTTTGCCATAAATTTACTGGCATCCTGTGTGTTTAACAAAAAAAAATTTTTTTTTTTTTTTTTTTAAATGCACCTAGCCTTCTAGTTCAGTACCATAAACTCTGTTTTCAAGTGGGGAAGATGTGGCTTGGTGCACAGGTGTATAACCAAAACTTGCTTGTAGCAGTTTTGGGGTTTTGAGGTAGTAGGAGATGCTGAAAGTGTCTGGCTTGTGGTATTCAAGTGAGTAAGGAGCAAAACTAATTTAACTTGTTTGTTTTCATTTGGTTGAGGGCTTTGCATGGTTTTCTGATTTATTTGTTTAAATATACATTTCCAGTACATAAAATTCTTATGTTTGTCTGTGCAAGTCTGAAGAAATTTGCTTTTGGTCCGTCCTGAAGTAATGCTTTGGTTCAGTAAAAATCCTAGTGTGTTCAGCCTGCTGGTTATTTAGGAGGAATTAATTTGTGACTCTTTCGGAAGTGACTGTAAGTGCTACAAAGTGTAATTTTTAGAACTTTTTTTTTTAAGGTATTGCAATCAATTGAGCAAATAGTCCCTGTTTTGGCTAAAGATTTGTTTGCATTTAGGATTCACTGTGTGACGGTGCTGTGGTTTAACCACAGCCGGCAGCTCAGCCTCATGCAGCCACTCGCTCGCCCCCTGCCCTGCAGTGGGATGGTAGAGAAAACTCATAGGTTGAGATAAAGACAGTTTAATAGGACAGGAAAGGAAAATAATAATGATAAAAGAATATACAAAACAAGTGATGCACAATGCAATCCTATCCCAGCCAAAAGCAGCGCATTGTGTAAATAATTCTAGGTAAACTAGTTGGAGAGACTGCATTTGTAGTTCTGAAACATTTATTTTTAATGTTGTACATTAAAATAGAATTACTTTTGAATACGTTCTCAGCTTAGAAGGAAATCTTTCCAGGCAAAGAGGCAAGTTCTTTCTAAACAAGTGCTACTATTTAGGTTTATGTACTGTGTCTAGACTGTAAATTCCTTAACTGTTCAAACATTTGTGAAAACCCATACAAATAATACCAGGTATGAGTGATCAGGGAAAACACAGCTCTGACTCCAGGAGAGCAGAATGACACTCCCTTAAGGCAGGGTGTGATACACTACTGTACCATTGTGCTTTCATGAAGTCAGCAATACAATTCAGGACAAAAACTGTTTTGAAATGCTAACTATATTCTACATTCGACTTTCTGTTCAGAGATTTCTTACTTTCTTGGACCTTATTTCATCTCCGCCTTGCACCTCAATAGAATGCCCAGCTATGTATCATTGTCTGTTCTGAAGGCTGCTCACAGAGAGCTACGATCAAGTAACTCCCTTGCTGTCCCCTGCACGCTGCTTTAACGTTGGGATCCCGGGTGGCTGAAATTTCAGCATGAGGGCAATATACCTGGTACATTTCAAAATTTGATCAGTTTGTAAACTCCAGTGTTGGTCTTGAATGTCTTTTTGTCATCATAAATCAAAATAGTAGATAAAATCACTGATAGTGACAGGTCTTCCATTTTGTGGTTTTTTTCCAACTAGCTTGTGGATTGCAAAGAGTGGAAGAGGGTTCTGAAATTTATGCCTTGCAGTCTTCTGTAATGAAATGAGAGATAAGAAAGGCTGCTGGTTTTTATAACTCCATCTAGGAGGTGATGTGACTGACTCAAAAAACCAGTTAGTGTTTTGCGCGTGTAAACTTGCTTAAAGCAAAGGTGGCTAATTCATATGTTAATTTCCAGTTTGGGGAATGTATTTATTTGAAGGGAAATTACATGAAAACTAGTATCTCATTTATTTACTGAAGGAAAATGTAACATGACAGAGATTACCATTTGAGCATGCCACAGGGACACAAGCTGTTATGGGAAGCTCCTACAGTGGAGCACGTCAGTAATTTTCATTTGCAAGCTGGGAAAGCAGCTCTTCCTACAGAGGAAGATTGGATTTTAATGAGATCATGTCCCTATGGCAATAACAACTCATAGCTGCCGTGAAGACTGGAGTGTGTTGCAAAAATGACTGCAACATTAAGAGCTCGGTACTTAAAAGCCCAGCGTGCCAGAAAAGCAGAACGTGCTTGAGCTGTGATGTTCCTTAGAGATCTCTCTTCCACCCCAGTCTTGCCATAAACAGCACACATGTGTTCTGCGATCACATCTGCTACAGTCGAAGGGAAGGTGGTGGCCTACAGTGACTCGGCTTGTTTCCTCAGCAGTGTTCAACAGGTGATTGCATCTTGTCTGAGACCATGAAAACATCAACATCTCATCCAAAGGGAAAAGCGTAAGAAGAATTAAACTGTAAATGCACATCTTCATGACTGTTACCATACACAGTGGTGATCGCGACCAGAAGACCACTGTACGTGGAGGAGGAGCGAGCGGCCCAGGGCACAGTTAACCCGAGCGTCCCAGGCCTCGGCTGCCAGGGTGAAGGCGGCCAGCTCCTTGTGACAGAGGAGCCCGCAGGCGGCGCCCGCTCAGTCCTGGCAGTTGTGCCACCTGCCTGGCCTTGCCTTGGGATACAGCAAGAAGTTCTCCTGTCAACATCCCCCCTGTTTGACAGGGAAATGACCAATTGTCTATACT